AGCATGTGCTCCTCCCCGGGAGTGAGGCGGGAGGGAGAGGCTGCAGCAGGATAAACTCCCAGAGGGGGAAGCAGGACGATTAAATGGTGTGCTGTCTTTCCTCCCTGGGACTTTGGGGGAGCGACTGAGGAAGTTTCAAGGTCACCCAAGTGAGTTCCCGAGGCTTCCTCTGGTTCGCTAGGAGGAAGGACCCAGGCAGTTGGGAGCCCTGTGGCCTGGCCCTGGGTTACCACATTATCTCCACTGGGGCCTCCATCTCCTGACTCAGTCCTGGGAGCTGCCCTGTGGATTCCTCCCTGCTGGTCCTTCCATGTAGGGTGTCTTACAGGAAACCAAGATTTCCCTAGAGAGGAAACTGTCTGTGGCTCCTTTCAGTTTGCACCCAAGCCTCCTCCCTCGGGCCAAAGTGGTCGACACCTTTTTTAAAAAAATATATTTTATTGATATTTTACAGAGAGGAGGGGAGAGAGATAGAGAGCTAGAAACGTCGATGAGAGAGAAACATCGACCAGCTGCCTCTTGCACACACCCTCCTGGGGATGTGCCCGCAACCAAGGTACATGCTCTTGTCCGGACGCGAACCCGGGACCTTTCAATCCACAGACTGATGCTCTAACACCTTTTCTTTGGAGCTCCCAGAGCACTCATTTATACATTCACTTATTCATTCATTCGTTCAGTGATTCTGTATTCATTCAGTGATTATGTGCCAGACATTGCGTCAGGAATATGACGGTCTTTTCCTGTGGAAGTTCATTTCAGCAGGCGAGACAAACAATAAGCAAATAAATGAGTAAATAAGTAATATGTGAAGAATTAGGGCTTTGGAAAAAAAAAAAAAAGAGAGAGAGAACATGTGGGGCCTGCCAGGGAGGAGGAGGGAAGAAGCGGTCGGCTTTCTGAGGAGGGGACATTGGAGCAGAAACTTGAACGTAGTGAGCCAACAGACCCCATGGATGTGAAGGGAAGAGTGTGGCAAGCAGGAGGACCGGTAAGCCCAGCGGCCCTGGGGCGGGGCCGTGGGAGCGAGAGGGAGAGGAGCAGGAGCAGGAGGCAGCTGGGAGGCGCAGGGCCCAGATCTGCCCGCCAGTGTTTCTTCTCCTTTTCCAGTATTGCCCCCTCCGAAACGTGGAATACCACAAATATGCTGTATTCCTGTTACGTACCGTATGTGCACATAGAAAGAGCAAGTTGGGCCCGGCTGGCGTGGCTCAGTGGTTGAGCATCAACCTATGAACCAGAAGGTCATGGTTTGATTCCCGGTCAGGCCACATGCCCAGGTTTCGGGCTTGATCTCCAGTGTGGGACATGCAGGAGGCAGCTGATTGGTGATTCTCTCTCATTGATGTTTCTGTTTCTCTCACCCGCTCCCTTCCTCTCTGAAATCAATACAAATATATCAGGGAAAAAATATATAGTACGTTGTTTCTACCCCCTAAGAACGAATCCTCTCCCCCTTGGGGACAATACTGTGCCTGTCGCGAATGAGTGGTCTGGGCTCATCGCCAAGTGTAAGGTGTCTGTATACTCCAGGGTCCATCCGGACTCCAAGTCATTCAAGGCGCGGCTCTGTAAACTCCCTCCCAGAGGGAAACCCTAATAGACATCTCGGATGCAGAAGGCATCTTGACAGCCACTCCACTCCCGCCCCCGCCCCACCCAGCCTTCCGAACCTCAGTAGCATCCCACTTCTCAGACCAAGAAACCTGGACAGAATGCCGCACTGACTGCTCTCTCTCCTTTCCTGCTGCCACTTGGCCCCGCTCTGCCCCGTTCACTGTTAACAGTGGCCCCCCACCCCCATCTCCCTTCAGCTCTTGTCCTGCCAGGTGGTAGGTGCCCTTGAGGAGGTGGGTGAGCAGGGGAGGGGCTTTCCTTTCCCCAGGGCTCCTGCCCTGACCAGGCCAGAGAGGAAATCGGGGGTATGAACACTGACTCCTGGTGGGACCCTCACTTCTGTCCCTTACTGCCCCACCTACCTCACTTCCTCTTCACCCTCTCGGCCCCTGGATGCTGTGCCCTTCCTTGTCGGCAGCAGACACTGGGCTCTGTGCTCTCAGCAGACATCGCTGATGGCTGCTGTGTGCCCACCGGGCACTGGAGAGCAGGGATGACCGGCCTCCAGACTAGTGGGCGAAGCAGCCCATGTCCACTCCATGGTGAGCTCATCTTAAAGCTCACAGGGATCCCTGCCTCCCCGGCCATCCTCCCCCAAGGCCTCCGGGTCATTCTTATCACATGTGCCCCATTGTGTAATCCGAGGCCTTTGTGACGTCTGTCTGTCTGTCTGTCTGTCTCGCCCTGGTTTGGGCTGCGGGCCTTGTGCGGGCTGCAGGCCTTATGACAGCAGTCTCGTGTCCATGTTGCCTATGCCACCTCGGCAGCCGCCGAACCATAAGAACTTAGTAATATTTGTGGGGAAATGGGTGGGGGGACACCCAGGGCACGGAGCTGGGGGGATGGGGAGTTTGAACCCCAAAGGAGGGCTTTCCCGCCCTCCTCCCCCCCCCCAGGCCCTGGGGGGGGGGTTTGCAAACAGGTGGGGGAGGGGGCCGCCTGGAGGTTGCTGTAGGGAGTGTCCCTGGAGCCTTCCTGTGGGCCTCTTATCTGGGTGGCCTTGGGGCCCTGGGGGAGGGAGCTGCTGGCCCCCTGATGGGCCAGAGCGCACAGAGTGTGCCTCCCCTGACGCTGGCCCTGGCATTTCAGGGTCACGGCCAGAGCCAGATGTGGCCAGCCAGACATCTGTGAGGATCCGCGCTCCCCCTTCCCGGAGCCTCGCTGCTGGGAGGTGTTGTCATAGAAACGCAGCCCCTGGGAGGGGGTGGGGAACACGTAGCTTTTCCTGCTTTGCTGCTTTCTGAGTCTGAGGAGCGGGGACAAGTCCCTGCCTTTCCTCCAGGGAGCTCTTCCCTGCTCGGAAGGCACGGGAAGGACGTGCAGGTGCTGCCCTGCGGGGCTGTGTGCCCCAAAGCACATCACTGCTCCCAGCACTCTGTCACCCCGTCACCTTGCAGGCTCCCCTCCCTGTGGGCGTCCCCCTGACTTCAGCCAGGCAGGGCTGATGCTCTCCTGCCAGTGGGAACCGTGGTGCCGTTCAGGGTAAGAGCTGGGGCGGGGGAGTTCAGGATGAGGGCCGGGCACGCAGATTAGACCAGCAGGAAGTGACTCGCGTCCTCTGAACCAGCCGGCTGCGAATGGCTTTCTCTCCTCCAAACCGCATGCCCTTTTGGGCTTGTTTTCCTCACACTCTCCAGCTCCCCCCAGACCCGGTGCCCTTCGCCCTCATTCCTACTGGGTGAGTAACTGCATCTTCCACAAGCAGCTCGGCCAGGACCTCAGGAGAGGCCCCCTGGCCCTGCCCTGCCCACGTGTGTGACTTCTTTTCTGGGTCCCAAAACCATTTGCGTTTAAGCACTTTGGTGTCTGGCAGCTGGTTTCTTTGTGTTTACTCTTAGACCTGAGCTCCTTGGGAGGCGGGAGGGGAGAGCAGGTCTTATTCGTTGTAAACCCTGGCACCCAGCCCCGGGCCTGGCCCCCAGAGGTGCTGATTGCTGAGAACCTACATGAATGAACCGCTTGGGAACCCCCTGAGAGGGGCCTTGAAGGCCGAGGAGAGTTGGCAGTGTCCCATGCAGAAGGGCCAGGGCGGGCTTTTTCTTTTTAAAAAATCTTTATTGTTGAGCCAAAACCGGTTTGGCTCAGTGGATAGAGCATCGGTCTGTGGACTGAAGGGTCCCAGGTTCAATTCCGGTCAAGGGCATGTACCTTAGTTGCAGGCACATCCCCAGTGGGGGGTGTGCAGGAGGCAGCTAGTCGATGTTTCTCTCTCATCGATGTTCCCAGCTCTCTATCCCTCTCCCTTCCTCTCTGTAAAAAATCAATAAAATATGGGGAAAATGTGTATAAAATCTTTATTTTGAAAGGATGACAGGTCCTTCTCTCCCCCCATAAACCTCTCCCAGCCCATTCTCATCGCCCCCACCCCACCTGGCTTCTCTCCAGAGGACGGGGGTTTGCACCCCCAAAGCCTGCCCAGAGGAAGCATCTGTTTACCGGATGAATGGGGAACTTTCTGCCCAAAAAGCCTGCATGGAGGTCATGGGGTTTGGGGTGTTTTTGGAAGGAAGCAAAGGAAGGAGTTTCAGGTCCAGGAAAGACAAACATGAACTGAGGCAAAGTGGCCAGAGCAGCGAGGAGCTAGCTCCCCAGGGAGCTGGGCAGAGGGAACGGAGGGGGTCGGGGACCTGGGGTCTGGAGCGGGGGGGTGAGGGGGGGCTGAGACGAAAGCTCAGGGGCATCGTAGGTCCGGTGACCTGAACAGCAGGAAGGGGTCGCCTTCCCTGGGTGCTGCCGGGACCCTGCTCTGTGCTCTCACACACACAGGAGCACAGCCCTCAGCAGGTGCCATCTGGACCAGGGCCCCAAGGACAGGGAGGAGGGACCATCGCCTGGGGTTTGAGTGTAAGGGCCTGCGATGCTGCTCACCGGGTTTGGGTCGGGAAATGGCAGACGGCCCCGGAGTCCGCTGTCCGTCTGAGGAGCGTCCCGGGCGCTCGGAGGAAGACGCTGAACGTACTTTCCTAGAATGAATGAGGCCATTAAGGCTGCCGCCCTCTCCAGTCTCTGTCACCGGGAAGGCCATCTGGGACCTGCAGCCAAGACAGGCCTCTCGGGCGGGGGGTTCGGGCCCCGCGACCAGCGGGGAAGCAGACCGCCCTCCGCTGGGCGCCCACGCTGCCAGCCGGGGACACGTCTGCACGCCCAGCCACCAGGCGGGGAAGCAGTGTCTCTTCTTGTTTGCGGGCAGCTCAGAGCAGGGCACCTCCAGTTTGCCTGGCTGTGCCCAGGGGCGGTCCCGTACCTGCTCTGACAGCTCCTCACCGCAGCCCGACAGGCAGGGCCCCGGCTCGGGGCACGCCTCACAGCCCTGGCCCCAGAGGACCACCCAGGCTCCCAGCGGGACGTGGGGCATGACGCAGACGGCTCTCCTGTCGTTCCAGAAAACTCCACGGCCAGTGTGAGCGAGGCAGAGAAGAAGGCCCAGGTGTACTACCGCGCCTGCATGAACGAAACCAAGATCGAGGAGCTGAAGGCCAAGCCGCTGATGGAGCTGATTGAGAGGGTGAGTGCCCCCGGCAGACTCTCCCGGTCTCCCCGTCCCGTGCCCCCTGCCTGCCCCTCTGGCTTCTGTTCCAGCGCCAGCTGCCACCACCACCGGCCGTGGATGGTGGAGCCGTCCGCTGACATGTCAGGGTTGTGTGCGTGTGCGTGTGCGTGTGCATGTGCACGCTCATCTCCCTGTGGGTGGGACTGTCCGGGTGTGTATTTGTTGTTATTTATTTTAACATATTTTTATTGATTTCAGAGAGTAAGGGAGAGGGAGAGGGAGAGGGTAAGAGAGATAGAAATACCAACGATGAGAGAGAATTATTGATTGGCTGCTTCCTGCACGCCCCCTATTAATGATCAAATCCTAAACCCCGGTATGTGCCCTGACCGGGAATCGAACCATGACCTCCTGGTTCAAGGGTCGATGTTCAACCACGGAGCCACCCCGGCTGGACGTCCGTGTGTGTATTTGTGTGGGCATGTCTGTCACACACATGTGCCTCTGCCTCTGTGGACGGGACGGGGCTGTATTTACAGAGAAAGTGTCCTCTGTGTTGCTGCTTTCTTGTCCTCAGAGAGGGTGTCTGTGTGAGCAGGGTGTGTCCACAGGACCAACAGGAAGTCTTGGAGAGAAGCAGAGCCCTCCCTCTGACCAGGGCCTTCCTGGGCACCTTCCGGTCAGCCTGGGATGGCCTCCTGAGCCACCCGGGGCTGCCAGGCTGCCAGGCACACACACCAGGGTGGCCAAGGCTGTTTTCTCGCTGCCCTTGCTCCCTCCAGGCCCCGCCTCCCGGCTCGGCTCAGGGGAGGCATTGGGGCAGGTGGGGCGTTGTGGGCACCCGGGACTGGACCGTCCCTCCCTCCCCTCTGACAGGGCCCAACCAGGAACACCAAGGAGATTTTTAAAAATCTAACTCTGGCCGAAACCGGTTTGGCTCAATGGATAGAGTGTCGGCCTGCAGACTGAAGGGTCCCAGGTTCAATTCCAGTCCAGGGCATGTACTTTGGTTGCGGGCACATCCCCATTGGGTGGTGTGCAGGAGGCAGCTGATCGATGTTTCTCTCTCAATGATGTTTCTAACACTCTGTCCCTCTCCTTTCCTCTCTGTAAAAGAATCAATAAAATATATATATATTTAAAAATCTAACTCTGAGAGAAACTAAAATAGATAATCTTTTTAAAAACAGAGCTTTCCTTATACCTGAAAATAATATAGAACAGCATTGAAAGTAAACTAACTGAAAAATAAATAAGTACAATTTGAAAATAAATAAAATTTGGTGCTTTAGGCACAATTGGATTTATGCTTCAATAGGAATGACAGCCAAAATCGGTTTGGCTCAGTGGATAGAGCGTTGGACTGTGGACTGAAGGGTCCCGGGTTCGATTCCGGTCAAGGGCATGTATCTTGGTTGCGGGCACATCCCCAGTGCGGGGGTGTGCAGGAGGCAGCTGATCAATGATTCTCTCTCATCGATGTTTCTAACTCTCTGTCCCTCACTCTTCCTCTCTGTTAAAAATCAATAAAATATATATTTTTTAAAATAGGGATGACATTCATGGGACTTAGTGTTAAAAAAATAAACAGTGTTCGGGAAGAGTCTTCTTCCCATCCCGCCCCCGGCCGCCAGGGAGCAGCCGCCATGTGGACCCACGGCTCCTTGTCCAGGGTGCGTCTGCTCCATCCGGGGTCTCTGGCTGATGGACACCATCCCCTCCGTTTGCTCTGGAGGCTCAGAGAGGCCCGGGGCTGACCAGGGCTGCGGAGCGCATTTCGCACCCAGGTCTCCCGCCATCTCCTCCCTTCCCTGTGTCCTCCCTCCCGCAGCTCGGGGGCTGGAACATCACAGGGCCCTGGGACAAGGACAACTTCCAGGAGACCCTGCAGGTGGTCACATCCCACTACCGCACCTCGCCCTTCTTCTCCGTCTACGTCAGCGCCGACTCCAAGAACTCCAACAGCAACGTGATCCAGGTGAGCGGCTGGACTTCCCGGAAGAAGTGAAGGACCCCGTGGCCTGTTCCGAGTTTAGCCAGCGCCACCCTGGGGCAGGTGGGGAGGGACCTCAGGGCAGGTGGGGAGGGGACTGGCCCTGGCCTGGCTGACAGTCTTGGCTCCAATGTTGAGAGCTTTCCAGGCTGGAAGTTTGGAAGGGCCACTGCCTCCGGGGGTAGGCGGGGCTGCTGCAACACCAAGGAATCCCGGGGTTCTGATGGTCACTGTGGGCTCCAGGGGGGATGTCAACCCCGAGGCTCAGCTGGATGTCAAACCCGAGGCTCAGTCTTGGTCCCCTCACCTCAGCCTCCAGCCTTTGTATCTCCGCCTGGAACGGCTTGGAGTCCATCTCTCTCTCCGTGAAGGCTGAGTTTCCACCGATCTCTGCCATTCACTCGCTGTGTGTCCTTGGGCAAGTGCCTCCACCTTTCTGAGCTCCCATGTCCTTACCAGTGAAATGAACTGTGCACTTGATCTTAACCAGAAGGCCAGGAAGAGATCACATGCATTGTAATAACACCTGCTCTAGGTCTGACGAGGTGAGGCCATAACGGTTGGGAATTGATATTCCTCCCCAGCCCCCCACGCACCAAGCCCTTTACTGGCACTCCCTCCTGGAATCCCTTTTCCAGCCTGAGCGTTAGCTATTGCCCCCACCCCCACCCCCATTGATGAGGAACCTGGGGATCAGGCAGGGTCAGTACCTTGACCAAGGTTACGCAGCTTGCGTGGCTCCTAGCCACTGCTCCGTCTTGGGCAGTGTATGGTGAACTAGAGCCGCTCTGCTGAGCCTGGGAGGCGTTGAGAGAGGAGGGGGGCTCTGTCTGGCCCTCCGGAGGCCCGCAGGGTGCCTGTGCAAATAGGAGGTTCCCTCTCACCCCCGCCTTTCTCCCCAGGTGGACCAGTCTGGCCTGGGCTTGCCCTCAAGGGATTATTACCTGAACAAAACGGAAAACGAGAAGGTGAGCGGGCCTCTGCCAAGAGAGCGGCTCCCGCCCCCAGCTCTCCGTGGCGCGTCCCCCACCCCGGGTCCCCCGAGTGTGCAGGTCTTTGAAGTTAGAGAGGGACCCAGAGGTGTCGCTTACCTGACAGGCGACACGCAGTCCCTGGCAGGGAGGGTGCCCCCTCCCAGAGGGAGGCTGACTCACATCCCGGCATCATGGGCTCAGCAGGCAGCAGCAGGTGTCGTGTGTCCCCGTTCTAGAACGATGCATCGGGACAGCCTGCCGTCGGGGGTGCTGGGCCTGTCTTGCCTGAGGCCCTCTGGTGACCCTGCAGATCCTGAGCGTCTCCTCTGACCTTCCTCCGCCCCATCCGTCCCTGGGTATTGTTTCCACCCTGCCTGTGTCAGAGGAGGCAATACGGCTCGGAGACAATGCGTGATCTGCTCGAGGTCACTTAGCCGAGGCTGAGACTCCTGTCCAGACCCACTAACTCTAAACCCCACGCCTTCCCACCCCCCTGACTGCGTCCGTGGTGTCCCGGGGAGACCCGGCCTGAGGTTGGACATCTGTCTGCGCCTCAGCCCACCCACGTGGGGTGAGCACGTGCCCACTGTGCCTGGTGCTGGGGAGACGGTGGTGAAGAAGGCAGCCTGGTCCCTGCCCCGCGGGGCGTCAGGTCTGGCCGGGGAGGCAGATGTTCCTTCACCACCAGTTGGAGGCATAATGACAAATGGTGATGAGGAAAGGCGAACGGAGAACGTAACCTGGGGACCTAGTGTAGATGGGAAACGAGGCAGGGGAGGGAGGGCAGTGGGAACAGTTGAGAAAAAGAGAGTTCCAGGCACTGAAAGATGGCTCTGGTGGGCCAAGCATGCGGGGAGGGGGAATGTGGACCTGGCAGCAGGGACCGAGCCTCCGGCGACCTGTGGCCTTGGGCCCGGGGGCCGCGTGGAGCCATGAAGCGGTGCACTGCCCAGCTCCTTCTAGAAGCTGTTTGCGGCGAGCGCCCGGACGGCACCGGCCCCTCCTTCCCCGCGCTGGGCCACGGGACAGTGGTGGCCGCCGCTGACAGGGGGTCCCACAGGTGCTGACCGGATACCTGAACTACATGGTGCAGCTGGGGAGGCTGCTGGGCGGCGGGGACGAGGAGGCCGTGCGGCCCCAGATGCAGCAGATCCTGGACTTCGAGACGACGCTGGCCAACATCACCATCCCCCAGGAGAAGCGCCGGGACGAGGAGCTCATCTACCACAAAGTGACGGCCGCCGAGCTGCAGGTGACGGGGGCTCCGGGGGGCAGCCGCGGGGCCGGGGTTCTACACCCACTTCGTCAGCCCCTCAGAACGCCCTCTGAAGCTGGGCTGGTCGTTCTACCCACTTCTCGGGTGGAAAAGCTGACGGAGGCTCCGAGAGGGGGGTTTGCCGCTGAAGGCCACACGGCTAGACTCCAAAGCTAGTCTCTTGCCTACACCAGGCTGCTTTTCGGTAACAGCATTTGCCCGGGGAGGCTGTGGTCTTGACAATAGCTCACATTGATTGGGCGTTGCCAATATCTCAAGCACCAAGCTATCGAGCCTGGTACACAGCAAACAGTAAATGTGAGGGACAGGTTCTGTCAACACTTCACACTTTCTTTTTTTTAATTTTTTTAATATTATTATTAATATACCAGAGGCCTGGTGCATGGATTCGTGCACCAGTGGGGTCCCTCGGCCTGGCCTGTGCCCTCTTGCAATCCATGACCCCTTGGAGAATGTCGGAGAGCCAGTTTCGGTCTGATCCCTGCAGGCCAGGCCAAGGGACCCCACTGGTGCACAAATCCATGCACTGGGCCTCTAGTACACATATAATATCTTTGGTTAATCTCTTCCCACCCTCCCCACTTCCCTCCTGAGATTCATCAGTCTGTTCTGTGTTCCATGCTTGTGCATTGAGCGTCTGCCCTCTGTTGGTCAGTGTGCATCATAGCTACCAGCTAATCTGCTGGTCAGCTGGTCAGTCGGTCAGTCAGTCATCTTGTCTTAGGCTTTAATATATAGAGATTTTTATTTTCAGAGAGGGAAAGAGATAGGAACATCAATGATGAGAGAGAATCCTTGATTGGCTGCCGCCTGCATGCACTGTACAGTGGATCGAGCCCACAACCCGGGCATGTTGGCCGGAATCGAACCTGGGGACCCTTCCGTCCACAGGCCGACTCTATCCATTGAGCCAAACCATCTCACCCTTTTTTTTTTTTTAATATATTTTATTGATTTTACACAGAGAGAAATTGAGAGGGAAAGAGAGTTAGAAACGTCGATGAGAGAGAAACATCGACCAGCCGCCTCTTGCACCCCCCCCTACTGGGGATGTGCCCGCAACCAAGGTACATGCCCTTGACCAGAATCGAACCCGGGCCCTTTCAGTCCGCAGGCTGACGCTCTATCCACTGAGCCAAACCGGTCCCGGCCATCTCACCCTTTTTTAAGCCTGGAGGTTAGGGGGCATGTTGAAAGCCATGAGGCTCCTACCTAACAGGGAAGCTTGGCATTGGAATCAGGCTTGGCTAACTGAAGCTCTGCTTTTTTTTTTTTTTTTTTTTTTTTTTTTCCAGACAAACCACAGAAACTTATTTTATTTTTAGGGAAGCACTGCTGTACTCGGGCATTTTAACACAAGTGTTTTATAATGAGTATATCCTAGCGGGTAATGAGATTTGGACCCGAAATCTCCACAAAATAAATGAGTTCAATCTTCGCTCTAAAAGCGCCTCCGCGCAATCAGACCCGGAGTGCAGGGCTGACCCCGCCCTCTGCGGCTGTGAAGCTCTGCTTTTGACTGTGACCCTGGTGACCCCGGTGGAATCAGATTAGGGTCCAACTGTGAGGCTCTCTGTACTGAGCATCACTCATCTGAGAAGATCCCTCCATAGCTCAGCCTTTGTGAAAGGCTGCCCCCTGCTGGCTACCTGGGACTTGCAGGTCATGAGTCTGCCTGTCAAGTTCCTTCTTTCCACTTCATGTTCGTGTCCAGCCTTACCCCAAACCCCCGGGGTCACCGAGGGAACCAGCCGAGTGGCCTCAGCCCATCTTCCTGTTCCCTGCCATCACCCAGGAATGCTTGGCTGGGCCTTGCTCTCAGGGCAGGATGTCTGGGACAGGCTGACAGGTCTCCTCCCTTCTCTACCCTCTGACCAGCCAGGTCCTGCCCATGCATTAGAGTTCGGCTCATTTACTCTCTTTTCTGGAAGAACACGGGGGTCCCTGCCCTTTTATCCTCCATCCCTCCCTTTGACAGGAGTACATGGGGCCACCAACAAGGAAACAACCCCAGACTCACCGCTCAGGGCTTTGAGCAAAAGAAGCAGGGCACTAGGGCAGGGCAGGGCGAAGCCGGGGAAGGTGAGTCTGGAGAGGGGTGAGCCTAGCCCAGGTGGAGGCAGACCTGGCCTCTTGGGTGCCAACTGCCCTCTAGGTGCCCCGAGAAGCTGGCATCGGGCTGGGGGCCGGGGAGAGGGGCTGTCAGGAAGATCAACAGCCCATGATGGCACCATCTGGCACTGTTTTTCCGCTCTGAGGCCAGGCCGAGGGAGGAGCTGTTTGTGCACCGTAATTTGGTTTGCTCCAGCTGCCCAGTTCTCAGCTCAAGGGGGGGCCTCAGCCCCCACCACGGCCATGATGCCAACTGACTATGTGCGAAGGCACAGTAGCCCTGGGCACGTCAGCCCCAGCCTGGCTATCAGCTTCTACCCCCTGGCATCCTATCGCCATTGCTCTCGTTCTGTCCTTCCTCCCTCCCAACTGCAGAGCGTTCCCCAGGGGAGGACTCTGCAGAGGCCGCAGCCTGGAGTGGCGTGAGCCCCGGGCAGGGTCAGAGACTGCTCTGGCCCAGCCCCCTGCTCGCTGTGAGACCTTGGGCAAGTCACACAGCCCCTTCTTTGAGCTTTGGTTTCCTTTCTTGTGAAATGGGGCTTTGCCCATTCACGCACCCCTGCCGTGTGCCAGGGAGACACGTGCGTGGCAGCGCCTGCCCTGGCAGCTGGACGTGGCAGAGCCCTAGGAGAACAGGCTGAACCTGTGCAGTGTCTCTTGGAGGAAATGGACATGGGAGACAATTACGTTTCAAGCCGTCCCGGGCCCCTGAAGCCTGGCTCCCGGATAAGAATCTCTGCCTGGGGTTGCAGAGGGTGCGATGAAGCGAGGGATGAGATTTCCCTTTGTAAACTGATACATGCAACGCAGAGAGATCTCTGTCCCTGGGATCAGTATTATTCCTTTGTAAAAACAGGAATCCGATCACAGTATTATTCCTTTGTTACGGTGATCCCAGCCACGGCTCTAGCGCTGAACTCATTCGATTCCTTCCCCCCGTGAACAGAGAGTGCCTTGTGTGCTGCCTGCTGGAAACTGGCTTCCCTCCCTCCCTGCTGGTGCCTGGCAGGCACTCCAGCCCTCCGTGTGGGGCTGCCCAGCAGAGTCTGAATTCAGAGCGCTGAATCCAGCGTCCTTCTGCCGCTTCTCTGGGGGCCTGAGGACCCTCCCGTTCTTTTCCGGGACCTTCCACACCCAAAGGTGTTTGGGAATGAGTCCCATCCCCTTTAAATCCTCCCAAGGAGACAAAGGTGATAGCATCTTTCTCTTCTCTCCCGCTTTGCAAGCCTCCTTGAGCCGGTTGGCCGGCCGGGGACCGGCAGTCCTCTCTGGCTGCGGATGTGGAAAATAGAACTCATGGGGTGTCCCAAAGGATTTGAGCCACAAGCGGAGTGTCCTCGTAGACCTAGGCACGCATGTTCAAGTTGGGCGTTCTCTGCGGGACAAGAGGTTGAAAACATGGGAATCCTGGCTTTCCACACGCACCCTCCCTCCGAGTGGTGGGAACTGGCCGCACGGCGCACTGGTGCCCTAAGGACCGGGTCTGTGTTGAGCAGGTGGAGGTTTATCTCCCGATGGCTGTGCCCTGGGTGGAGGGTTCCAGTCGCCTGCCGTTTAGGAAGCTCTTGTTCACTGTATAAACAGCGACGCTTTGCAAACGTGGCCAATTTCCCAGGGGTCTTTGCCAGCAGACCATGTGGACAGGCGGCTCTATGTGTGGAGCCCAATGTGAGTGTCTCACTAAGCACCTCCAGGTTTCACAGCCACAGAAATGGTAAGGGGAAGCCCCAGAGGTTGCCTGCCCGACGGGCCCCTGCCAGGACCAGAGGGCAGGGCGGACAAGCTGAGGAGAAAGGAAACTCGGGTTTGTTGAGCAAGCTGTCCCGAGAGGCGCAGGGCAGCCAACCGTGGAGGGGGAGGGGGATCGCTGTCCCCGTTTTAGAGAAAGACGGGGTCTTCTCAGGCCAGCACGGGCTCCTCCCCGCCATCCCGCTGTGGGGCGGGCGGACATTCGCAGGAGCGCACAGGGCACAGCTCTCCCCAGCTCTGAGGGAAGTCTGAGTAGGTCAGGGTGGAAATACAAGCCACGCAGAGAGCCAGTTGTCAAGCCCTGGCCTAAGGGAGCGGCCCTCCTCCAGCCTCCGAGGTCCTCGTTCCCCAGCAGCTGAGCTGAGCTGCCCTTTAAAACCAGACACATGAGTACACCCCGGTTTTAGACCTGCACAGTCACTGGCTCACCCTGTGACCTCCACAAAGACACTGTCGCTAGTAGGCAAGCTCGGTGTCTGTTACTTGGAGGGTTTCCATGGCTGCCTCTCTCGTGGAGGACTCCGCAAAAGTTTACCAACGTTATAGATCCAACTGATGTTGGATCTATACGTTATAGATCCAACTGATGTTGCAGACTGAGGTTACGTGTCATATATATATATATATATATATATATATATATTAGTTTCAGTGAGGAAAAGAGGGAGAGAAAGAAACATCAATGATGAGAGAGAATCATTGATTGGCTGCCTCCTGCACGCCCCCTACTGGAGGGTCAAGCTCAAAACCTGAGCATGTGCCCTGACCTGGAATCAAACCTTGACTTCCTGGTTCATAAGTCAATGCTCAACCATTGAGCCACACCTGCTGGGCAGCTTTTACGTTATTGATTCATACGAAGGTCATTTATAATGCCTCTCGCACCTTCCTACATCTTGCATTTTGCCCCTTTTCAAGGGAACAGAACAGAATTTGGAATTGAATGAGCCCAGGCCCACTCTTGGACCAGGAGCAGTGATTACAATAGCCACAGGCACTTTTGCTGTAGTCCCAAAAAAAAAATGTTGCATTCTGTAAAATTACAGGACAAAAAAGGTAACTGAAAATAACAAGATATATGGGGAAAACAGGTTTAAAGCAGACCATTCCAACGTGGTGCAACTTGCCCTAGCTGGTTTGGCTCAGTGGATAGAGCGTCGGCCTGTGGACTAAAGGTTCGATTCCGGCCATGGGCATAGGCTGGGGTTTCAGGTTCGATCCCCCCAATAGGGGCGTGCAGGAGGCAGCCAATCAATGATTCTCTCTCATCATTGATGTTTCTATCTCTCTATTCCTCTCCCTTCCTCTCTGAAATCAATGCAAATATATTTTTTAAAAAGTGGTGCAACTTGTCTCGAGGGCATTACTAAGTGAAGTGAGTCCGCCTCCCAAGGTCAGATACTGTGTGATTCCACTTCCACGCGTGGTCAGATGCACAGCGACGGAAGGTGGCAGGGGCTGGAGAAGTTACTGTTTACTAGGCACCGAGTTTCATTTCTGCAAGATGGTGGTGGTGATGGTTGCCTCACGGTGCCACTGAAAATGTGTGCTCACTTAAAGAGGGTTAAGAGGGCTCATTTCAGATGTGCATTTTTACCACAGTTTTAAAAAAATTGTTGCGTTAACTTTGTAATCAAAACACTCACAAAGCAATCATTGGAACCTGCAGAGATCACACAGCTTGGCTGGAGGCTGCCTGGTGGGAAGCGGAAATGCTGGCTACAGACAAACGGGAGGGAGCTCGGAGGAGGGGAGGCCCACAAGGTGGGCCAAGAGCAAGTGCAGCCTGCCAGGAGCTGAGGTGCGCAGAGCTGGCTGTGCCTCTGTGGGGAGGGAGCCTGCGCAGGTGCTCGATTTAAATCACCTTAAAATAGAGCCGCCGGCTTCCTGCGGGCATCAGCTGAGCTAAGGGCTTTTCCTTTCTTGCTGAAGGTTATCATTCTACACGTGATTTTTTGTTTTGTTTTTTTTTTTGTTTTTGTTTTTTGTTTTTTTTAGAAAGTGAGAGGGAGGGAGGCGGGAAGAGAGAGAAACATCAATGTGAGAGAGACACATTGATTGGTTGCATCTCTTATGCCCTGACCGGGGCCAGGGATCGATCCTGAAACTCGGGTAATTGAACCCGAGACCCCTTTGGTGCTTGGGCCCATTAAGGCTCGTTGGAGACTCAGTTTCCTCATCAATACACTAGGGATAGCAGAACCTACCTCCTAGGCTTGTCATGAGGCCCAGTTAGGAAATGTGTGAGTGGTTAGCATGGAACCTGGCATGGGAGGGGCTTGGTCAACAGTAGCTTCTTGCTGCTGCTGCTGCTGTGTCTCCTCTCTCCCATCCTCATTCCACATCAAGTTCAATTTTTGGCTCTTAGAATCCTAGGTGCATACCTCTTACACTCCTGCGCATTGCTCTCTTTACTTACCCAAGGTGTTAAGCATGACTCTCACGCTGTTGTTTTCCATTAAACCAGAAATATACTAGTTGCTGTTTACCTTATATTTGTAACCTGAATTTTGCCACTTAAATGTCATGTTCACATGTTCATTTCCTACATGAAAATCCTTCTGGTTAGGAATTTGTCATGTTGAGCAACATTTTAATACGACATATTCCACTAGCCATGTGAGTTTTAACATGTTTCAGAGAGGCCAGTCCATAAAATACCACGTGAGCATATTTTTAAAAAAAGAATTCTACGTACAGCACCGCCGATGAAAGCCAGCCAGCCTTGGCTTGACATTTGCCCAGTGCATCGTGGGACAGCTCCCAGCTCTCTGCGCTGTCCAAGGACGGAGGCACCATGACACCATGGAGGCCTGGGCTTGGCATCACCCTGTTCTCTTCTCTTCCAGACCCTGGCGCCCGCCATCAACTGGCTGCCCTTCCTCAATACCATCTTCTCGCCCGTGGAGATCAACGAGTCCGAGCCGATCGTTGTCTATGACAAGGAGTACCTCAGCCAGGTCTCCACCCTCATCAACAACACCGACAAGTGGTGAGGCTCCGCGGCCTGGGGCGGCCTCTCGCAGAAAGTCTCCGGGGTCACCCCGCTGCCCTCTCCTCAGGCAGGATGGCTGCACGAGGGCAGACTGGCCCGGGGACGTGGGCCCCGGTGTTGGTTTTGTTTTTTTATGAGAGACAGCAGGGCACCATGGTTCTGAACGCGGGTTCCAATCCCAGCTCCCCCACCTGCCAGCTTTGTAGCCTTGGGCACATGTCTTACCCTTTCTCGGGTTCATTTTCTGAATCCATAACATGGGAGCACAAGTGGTCCCTCTCCTGTAGGGTTGTTGGGAGACCTGAGTGAGATACCCCACGTGCAGTGTTTTAAGAGTCTCATGCTCTACCGACTGAGCTAGCCGGGCACCTACGTGCAGTGTTTTAATTGAGTGCTTGACACGGAATGGACTCAGTAAATGTTAGCTCCTGTTATTAGTCTGTATGATGTTTTCTTAAATTTTAAAGATTTGTTGTAGGCATTTTTGAAAACTACAGGAAAAGATTATATTTAATCCAAATACGAAGGCAGATCTTGTGGGATGTGTGTGTTTGTGGGTGTGCACATGTGGAGAGAGAGAGCGTGTATGAGAGAGGAGGACAAAGATGGGTTTCTAATGCACATCTTTTCCCCCCATCCTTGTGCTAGAGATATGGTCTGCTTTTCCCTGGACTGGTTTTTAATTGATTTTTTAGAGCGAGAGACATCAATGTGTTGTTCCACTTATTTACGCATTCACTGATTGATTCTTGTATGTGCCCTGACTGGGGATCAAACCTGTGACCTTGGCATATGGGGACGACGTTCTGACTGAGTGGACTGCCCGGCCAGGGCCTCCCTTGACTTTTATCATAAGCATTTACCCATGTCCTCCCAAGCCCTCCGCAGACCTCCTTTTCCATAGCTACATGGGATTCCACAGAGGAAATGGATGGTTATGTACTCCCCCTCCCCCGGTTGGTTCCAGTTCGAGGCTCACAAGCACTTACTGAGCATGTGTGGGGTACAGATTGTTGCACTAGGTGCCGAGGGCCTTTCAGACCGAGGCTCTGCCCTGGAGGTGACAGTCCGGGTGCTTAGAGAGCATTGGTTACCTGACAAACTGAGACGGGTGTGGGAAGAGCCCTTGGAATCAGAATGTTGGGTGTGAGCGCACCCTGGAGGTCAGTGGGGGGAGTGCTGCAACATTCCCAGCCCGGGGCACCTCTGAGCGTGTCCTGTCTCCCCGCCCCCAGCCTGCTGAACAACTACATGATCTGGAACCTGGTGCGGAAGACAAGCACCTTCCTCGATCAGCGCTTTCAGGATGCCGACGAGAAGTTCATGGAAGTCATGTACGGGACCAAGAAGGTGAGCCTGTTCCTCTGCACGCCCAAACACGGGCTGAGTACCCACTGTGTGCCAGGCCTTAGGTTGGGGGATGGCATGACCAGGGTACCCTCCAGGGGCATGGAGCCCATGAGGGTGGTGGACAGAGACAGAGAATACAGAGGCCCCTGAAGAGGTCTGCCCAGGTGTCCCTGAGCTCGTAGGAGGCCTTCCCCCGGGGAAGGCTGGGTGGTATTGGAGGGATTAAGACGGCCAGGCAGACACCTGGGCGGGAAAGCGTAAAAGAACTTGGGCGACTCGATTTAGAGAAGCTAGCATGCCTTCGCCTTCCTTCCTCCCTTCTGGCCTGGAAGAAGTTTTTTTTAATGAGGGTATAACTTACATGCAACAAGATGTACAGAATACACAGCTCAGTGGGTTTTGACAAGTGAAATCACCTGTGTACCCACTGCCCCGTTTACCCAGCCGTTTTCTGAGCCCCTTCACGGCAGCCCCTGCCCCCCACCCACAGGCGGGGGTAGAGGGTGAAGTGGGAGTCAGACCCCAGGTGCCCTCTGTGCCTGGCTCCTGCCCGGCGTGTCTGTGAGATGCACCGGTGTTGTGTAGATCAGGAGCGGGTCCTTGTGGCCGCCGAGTGCTGTTGTATAAAAACACCACGTTTTGTTGTCCGCCTGCCTGCGGGGGGCAGTGCGGGTGCTTCTCCGTGGAGGGCTGTTAGGAAGCAGGCGGCCCTGGCACGGGCGGCTCTTACCACCAGTTGTCCAGGGTCCAGAGGACTTGGCTTCCTCTGCAGCCAATAGAGCTACGGGAGCGGCGCCCCCTCTTGGTCATGCAGACTGTCCACAGGGGGCTGCTGGGCAGGGAGCGGGTGAGGCCAGAGGGAGCCGTGGTGCTTTCTTCCCGAGCCGTGCTCTCCCCGCGGGGCTGCAGCCTGGAGCCCGGCTCAGTGGCACGGGCGTCCTGCAGGCCCCTGGGCTGGCGGGGGAGGCCGGACCGGGGGGCCGCGCAGAGTCTGGCAGGGCCGCTGTGATATTCTTCCTCCGGAGGCTTTAAAGGGGGCTGGTCCCGGCCTCCTGGGAGGGTCCTCCTGCTGCTCAGTGACAGGTAACTTCCCATGGTTCTTTGTCGCCAGGATCCTTATCCTCCCCCAGGAGGGAGGACAGGTGGAGCGTGGCGGTGGGCTCAGGCGTGGCAGAGTTCTGATCACTGGGACCCTGGACCAGAGACTCCTCTGTGCTGAGTCTGTCTCCTCGCCTGGCCAGGGCCCGCCCCCGCCTCGCAGGTCATTCCGATGGGCACGCAGAATCCCACCTGCGAAGTGCTGTGCGCGGAGCCCGCACTCAGGAAAGAGTAGATGGCCGAAACCGGTTTGGCTCAGTGGATAGAGCGTCGGCCTGCAGACTGAAAGGTCCCGGGATCGATTCCGGTCAAGGGCATGAACCTTGGTTGCAGGCACATCCCAAATAGGGAGTGTGCAGGAGGCAGCTGATCGATGTTTCTCTCTCATCAATGTTTCTAACTCTCTATCTCTTTCTCCCTTCCTCTGTAAAAAATCAATTTAAAAAAAAAATATATATATATATACATATATATATTTTAGAAATAAAGGAAGGAAGGAAGAGTAGATGGCCGTGATGAGGGCCATGCTGTGGCTCCTTGGTCCCATGTCTGAAGAACAGGTCTCCCTAAAGTTCTAGAAGGAAGCAGGGGCCCCAGCGGGTGCTGCCTCCCAGACCATCAGGGGCTGGGAGGGCGGCCAGGGCCCCAGTAACACACACACCCCCCCCTACCCCCCCGTTTCCAGACCTGCCTTCCTCGCTGGAAGTTCTGCGTGAGTGACACAGAAAACAACCTGGGCTTCGCCCTGGGCCCCATGTTTGTCAAAGAGACCTTCGCCGAGGACAGCAAGAACGTGGTGAGTGCCTCCCCTCAGACGCAGACTGTGGCCTCTCGCCGCTCGTGAACTTGGCGGCCACACTCTGGTCCTGGTCTGGTCTGGTCTGGTCTGGTCTGGTCTGGACCGTCCCTCCCCAGGGCTCCAGCCCGAACTCCGAGGCCTCGTTTCCTGAAGCCCTGAATCACGAGAGTCACTCGTGAGCGTTGCTGCTCAGAGCGCAGGCCGTTTGGCTGTATTACCTCGTTCACCCTCCCCGCGGTCCGCCCTCTCCCCTCCCAGGGGTTGGCGTTTTTCTTACTCCGAGGGGGACGGTGTGTTCTAGGCGGGCAGAGGAGCATCGTGGCTAAGCACGTGAAGGCAGGCAGGCGCCACATCCGACCCCGGATTGACTGGTTCCTGGGCGCTGTGCCTGGGACCATAGTCTCACCTCACCTGTGACGCGGGGGTGGAGGTGGGCACCCCCCAGGGGAGATGAATGAGATGCTGCGTGTAAGAGCACCTGGCACGAAATAAGGTCCCATAAAAGGTGGCTGTTCTACCATTTTTAATACGTTTTTATCACTAATATTAAACTCATGGATGTTACCTGCGGTTAGAGGTTAGCAAGCGGAGACTCTGACCCATGGAGTGGCTTCCCTGGTGCAGAATCCGAGTCCGGCTCTGTCGGCCGGCGGCCCCTCTGCTCTTCCTGCTGCAAACCCCGCCTTCCCCTGGTCTGGACGCTCCCGCCCCCTGGCCTGCCTGCCTGTGACATTGCCCTTGAGAATGGCCGTTCCTCTCCAGCCTGAGCAGAACACTTCTAAAACTGCTGCTTAGGACGCGAGCTCTCTGGATTGTGAACCCGTTCCATCAGACAGGGACTCTGGGCCCCAATAAGCCTGGGAGAGGCCGTGTGGCCCAGCCTTCTCCACTAAACAGTCCTCTGTGTGGTGCCCCCTGAAGGCTCGGACAAGTCCTGCAGCCAAGAGGCTTGCCCAGCGTTCCCAGAATGTGCTCTCACCGTGTTTGACCTTGGAGCCCGGTCTAGTCTTGGCTGATGGGACGTCAATATACTGAGGAGCGAGGCTGGGGAGCATGTTTGTGCCACCCCCACTCTTAGCCCAGCACCAGGAGCCTGAGGCTTTGAGCCAAGACCAGAGTTCAGTCTTTGCCTGCCGTCCTCCTCCCCCGGGGGGGTCCCCATCCCCGGCCTGCCCTCCAGGGTCAGCCCTGTCTCCGCAGGCCAGCCAGATCATCCTGGAGATCAAGAAGGCGTTTGAGGAGAGCCTGAGCACCCTCAAGTGGATGGACGAAGACACGCGGAAGTCAGCCAAGGAGAAGGTGAGGCTGCCTGGAGCTTGATTGGGGAGGGGAGGGGGAGGTGCAGGAGAGACCACGGCCAGGCGCTGCCCTGCCCTCGGGGTGGTCAGTGGCGGGATGGAGGGGCAGCCTGAGCACACGATTGCGTTCATGACTGTATGAAAAGGGCGTGCCGCGTGTGCGAGGGAGCGTGCAGGGAGATGCCACGTGTCTAGTGCAGAGGGAAGGGCCTGAGCTGGTGGTGGGTGATGACTAGGGAAGGCCTCCCTTAAGAAGTGACATTTAGCCAAAACCGGTTTGGCTCAGTGGATAGAGCGTTGGCCTGTGGACTGAAAGGTCCCAGGTTCGATTCCGGTCAAGGGCATGTACCTTGGTTGCGGGCATATCCCCAGAGGCGGGTGTGCAGGAGGCAGCTGATCAATGTTCCTAACTCTCTGTCCCTCTTCCTTCCTCTCTGTAAAAAAAAAAAAAATTAATAAAATATATATTATAAAAAATTTTTAAAAAGTGATATTTAAGGGATATCTAAGAGATGAGTGGAATTTAGGCAGCACTGGGGTCCTTCCAGAAAGAGAGGAGGAAGCCCTGGGGTGGGAGGAGCCTGGCCCTGAGTGCCCCTTGGCCCTGACCCTGAGCCCGGCCCCCATGGGGCATGGCTGGACACTCACTGTCTGTCCTCTGTGTCTCCCCCAAACAGGCAGACGCAATCTACAACATGATAGGTTACCCCAACTTCATCATGGACCCCAAGGAGCTGGACAAAGTGTTCAACGACGTGAGTGGTTCCTGCCTGCACCCTTACGTTCCCAGATGCCCCTGGGGTCCCCATTTGGGGAAGGGGGTTCCAGGTGGGGCGCTGGCGGCACCAGGGCAGTGAAGACATCTTGAGATGGTGAGCTGTGGGCTTTGGGGCTGCTCCTCGGTCTTCTGGGCCAGCCGGAGGCCCCCTTCCCTGGAGCCACCAGCAGCCAGGGCCCAGCAGTCCGTGCCAGCACGGTGCCCCGTGCCCCCTGATTGTGGGAGGATACACCCTAGAGGTGCAGAGAGCATTGGCTCGCCCCCCTAAAACATCAGTGGGGTACAGCGTGGACCCCTCGTACCGCCTCCTCCTCCCCGATTCCAGAGTTCCCTCCTGTCCCAGGACCCTGCCCACCTCCCCGGAGAAACCTGACCCCCGGTGTGGTCCTTGAAATGCTAGCAGGAAAGAGGAAGCATAACTCTCCAGGGCACGCTGAAGCTGCATTTAGGCAGCAGGGGTGGCTGACGAGTCCCTGGTAGATAGAACGTTTGGCAAATCGCTCCTTTCCATGCGTTGTGCTTCTGCCCGGAGAGGTACAGTTTGAGATTTTTTTGTGACTGAGACTCATCAACTCGGGCCTTTTTGCAATTGTAATAACGTCTCATCGCAGTTCTATTTAAAACCCAAGGATGTTAAGATCAGTCCCGAGAATGTGAGGTGCCTTTTGCTTAGGGTGACCAGACATCCGCTTTTGGCAGGACAGTCCCGATTTTTAACAATTTGTCCCGCTTCCCTCGGCGTTTTAAAAAAAGTCCCGATTTTCTTTTTAAAAATCAGGACTTTTTTTTTTTTTTTTTTTTTTTTTTTTTAACGCGGCAGGATTCGGGACAAATTGTTAAAAATCGGGACGTCTGGTCACCTTACTTTTGCAGCCTTTTTCCTTGAGGGAAACTTAAGGTGCTCCAGAGTGTCAGGCCAGGAGACCGGGCCCTCCTGCGAACGGGGACGGAGGCCTGTGCAGGCCCAGCGTTTTCTCTCGCTCCTGGTGGGAAAGCTAGAAAGCCCAGAGGGATCGGAGGGAGAACCTGGCGCCCAAAAGGAGCGGGAAGGCCGGGCTGAGGGCGAGGAAGATGCCCGTCCCTGCCCCCCTCAGAGCTGGATCCAGCCTGATGTCTGAGAGCTGTGCTGTCTGTCCTGTGGGGTGGCCACTGGCCAGAGATGCTAATTCATCCAAATCTAATTACTTAAGATTAAATTAAATTTCAAAAAGGAAAAAGTTTAGATCACATTTAAAAGCCACTCGAGCCACATTTGGAATGCTCGGCAGCCGGTGGCCAGCGTCTGACAGGAGAAGCACAGGCACAGAGCATGCCGGGCACCGCGGAGCGTCTGCTGGCATCAGAGGCCTGGCCAAGCTCGCGGTGCCCTTGGGGGGAGAGGAGGCCGGGCCCCAGCAGGCGGAGAGCCGAGGACAGAGCCAGGCCTGCCGCCTCGAGCCCCCGTTCTGGCCTCTGACAGGCAGACCAACCCCTTAGCCTCGCGGGCCCTCCGTTCCCTCGGATTCGGAGGGGTCTGGGCTCAGGGTCCGAGGCCTCGGCCTGGCCGCGCTGACCCCGGGGCTCTGCTCTCCCATCCAGTATACCGCGGTGCCGGACCTCTACTTCGAGAACGCCATGCGCTTCTTCAACTTCTCCTGGAGGGTCACTGCCGACCAGCTGAGGAAGGCTCCCAACAGAGACCAGTGAGTGCGGCCCCGGCTCCCAGCTCCCGGGGTGCTCCGGGCTGAGCTCATCACTGTCCCGAGGGCCCTCGGCCGCTCTCAGACGAGGGGCCCAGGGAGGAAGAAGGGGTTCCCAGGCAGGAGCTGGGGCCGGCTGGTCTGGGTGCCCCGGCGCCAGGCCGTTGGCAGAGTAGCCCGGCCTGGAGGGGAGCAGCCCTGGCATCACATCCCAGCACCACCTCTGCCCTCGGAGCTGGTGTGACCGCCGAGTGTGAGAACCCCCGGGGGGTGGGGGTCGCACCGAGGGGGCCCTCCGCTGGGGCTCGTTGCTTCCAACTCCTCACCAGCAGGAGCGCTGGGTCCCCAGGGCGGGTCCCCGGAGGCTGGGGAAGGTTCCGGATAGGCCCCTAGCAGCTGTGCTTCCCAAACCTTACTGCACATCAGGAGTCTCTGAGGAGTTTTTTTTTAAAGACAGCTTTCTGCCCTGGCCGGTTAGAGCATCGACCCACAGACCAAAGGGTTGCGGGTTCGATTCCCCGTCAAGGGCACGTACTTCAGTTGCAGGTTCAATCCCTCACCCTGGTTGGGATGCATGCTGGAGGCAACCCATGGATGTGTCTCTCTCACGTCGATGTTTCTCTTTCTTTCCCCCACTTCCTCTCTCCCCTCCATTCTCTCTCAAAAAGAAAATTAAAAAGTAAAAGCGTAAAATACAAGACAGCTTTCTGGCCTGACCCCCAGACGTTCTTATGTTAACGTCACCTGGAGTGAGGCCCGGTCTCTGTTGTTGCTGTTTTAGTAGTCTCTTCAGAAAACCCAGGTGCAGTCAGCCCAGTGCTGGTTCTCAGACCAATCTCCCTCTGTGCCTACCGCATGGTGCAGAATAAAGCTTACCAGGCGGCCGCCTAAAGCAACGCCTCTGTGCCTCTGGTGCCCCCTGGTGGACAGCAGGGCTTTGAGCATCTGTTTCTTCTACCTTTTCCCTTCTGCAGCCAGGCAGGGTCCCTCTAAAATGCACAAGAAGCACTCTTTTCTCTCCAGAACACGGCACAGGTACTGCCGCAAGGTCCTGAATGTATCTGGTCTTTTACCATTAGGCTTCAGTTTTCCACTGAAGCGTCATTTCCTACCCACGTATGTATTCATCATTATTTTCATATAAATACGCTGTTTACAGGTTCTCGGTATGCTGTCGCTCAGTGTCCCTTACCACATCACCGTGGGGCTCGCCTGGAGAGACAGAGGGACTGTCTAGGCCCTTAGAGAGAATGTCTTTCCTGTCTTGCTCTGCCCCTCATGGTCCCGTCCCCTCCCCAAACACCGGGGACCGACTGTTTCCGTACCAGATCCCACCAAGGGTCCCCTCTACGCTCTTAAAAAACTATTGGACCCATAGAGCTTTTTTTTTTTTTTTTTTATAAAAGTTGCATCAATTTTTATGCACACTTTATGGCGGGGGGACTTTTATAAGTTTAATGAGGTATTGTTTGACTTTTTCAAATTTCTTTAATGTCTCTAGCTTAATCATAGACATCTGGATTCTCATATCTGTTTATTATGTACAATCTGGTTATACAGTATAATTCTATATTCAAGCTATTACAGTGGATTGTCTTTAGAACTATATAGAAAGCAAATCTAGTCTCACACAGATACGTAGATGGAAAAGGGGGGGCTTATTTTAATCGCCTTTCCTCATTCGAGGGCACGTTCTTTATTGATGTTAAACCAAGATTCATGAAGTGGTAATTTCTTCAAGGCTAATGGCCCTGTGGAATCGGAAACTATCTCCGTGAACTTTTCACACTTCATTATACGAAACACCATCCGTCTGTCTGGCACTTTGATCCCTCTTTTTCCCACCCGTGATTTTTAACATCACACACGGGTCGTTTGGCAAACAGTGACTCTCTGGGTTTTATATATATCTTCCAAATAGTGACACTTGGATGACACAATATTAAAAAAAAAAAATACCCACATCTGATCATACCACCACGGAGCCTCTGAGAAAAGCCTTTATGGGTCAGGAAGCTGACTGACACAGGCTTTTTAGGATTTTAATTTTAGGATTTTAATTTTCTAACTATGTTTTAACCTTGAATTTTTATCAGTGGCGCCAAGGGGTGTCAATTCTTTTCCTTGAGGTGACAAGTTCATTTTATTCAATTTCAAGAAAACGGCTGCCAAGGACCCACGCCTGACATGTCAGTTCATCATTTATCCTCCCGGGTACAGATGTGGTCACATCGTATTGAAGGTCTTGTCCTCAAGGTCTGGTTTTAATTAAATGAATGACTAGGCTACATCACTAAAGATGTCCTTTGTAAAAAATATTTTCTATTGATTTCAGAGAGGAAGAGAGAGGGGAGAGATAGAAACATCAATGATGAGAGAGACTCATTGATCGGCTACCTTCTGCACATCCCACACTGGGATTCGAGCCCACAACCTAGGCATGTGCCCTGACCGAGAATGGAACTATGGCTTCCTGGTTCATAGGTCAATGCTCAACCATTGAGCCACACCGGCCAGGCTTACGTTCTTTGTCAGAGCCTCGGTGTTGCATTGGGTGGTATGATGTTAGATTTAGCCGATCCCTTATTTGTGGACATTTAGGTGTTACAGTGGATGTCCCCATAGTGTGTGCATTTGGGCCTAGGGTCAAGGGCATCCACATTTTCTCGGCTCTTGGTATCCTCCCGGTGGGCTGCCCCCGGGCCCTCCCCAGGCCGCCCTGACCGTTCCCATGCATGTTGCTTGCAGGTGGAGCATGACCCCTCCCATGGTGAATGCGTACTACTCGCCCACCAAGAACGAGATCGTGTTTCCAGCCGGGATCCTGCAGGCCCCGTTCTACACCCGCTCTTCACCCATGTACGGACGGTGCTCCCGGTGCTTCCACCCCATCTCCCCCCCCCCCCCCCCTTACCGGACCCCTAACCCAGCCCCAGCCCACAGCTGACCACGCCAGCCAGCCAGCCTCATGGAGCACCCTGTGCCCCACTCGCCCAGGGAGCCTGGGGCACTCAGAGCCGTCTCATAGGACAGCCTCCCTCCCGGCTTCCCTCCGGGGCCTCCTGGTTCTGGGGCCTGGGGGAGGGCGCCTCGGACAGTGCTTTAGGGCAGTCGCAGCCGGGGAGCTGGGAAGGGCGAGGGCACTGTCTCGGGAAGGTCCCCCGGGCTGCGCTTTGCTGCCCAGGCGGCCCTCGGGCGAAGGGGTCAGTCACCCCATTCCAGGCCGTGGTTGGCTCATCTATAGAGTCGGCGCCTCACGCCTCACTCTTCGGCGATGACTAAAGAGGACAGTGCAGGTCTGCGGAGCACCTAGCCCAGCGCTGGCGCCCAGTGGGCACAGGCTGGCCACACCCCAGGCACCCAGCTTCCGACGGGCTGCAGGCCCAGGCTGCGGCCGCGTCCCCGAGGAGCACTGTGGGTTTCCGCCGCGTCCCCGGGCCTCTCCCCTCTCACCTTCGTGTCCTCCCCTCCCTCCAGGGCCTTGAATTTTGGCGGCATCGGGGTTGTCGTGGGCCACGAGCTGACTCATGCTTTTGATGATCAAGGTATGAGCTCCTTGGGGTTCCCTTCGCGGGGCGGGGGGGATCAGCTTCCCGGCCCCACTCCTCCTGCTTTTGCTTCTTTCACGTCTAAGCATCTTACTGAGCCCCAAGACAGAGGCTCTGGCTTCAAATCCTCCTGCCAATCGTATGAACTTTATATGAAATATATTTTATTGATTTTTTTCCAGAGAGGAAGAGAGAGGGATAGAGAGTCAGAAACATCAAGGAGAGAACCATCGATCAGCTGCCTCTTGCACACCCCCCACTGGGGATATGCCCGCAACCAAGTTGCATGCCCTTGACCGGAATCGAACCGGGGACCCTTCAGTCCGCAGGCTGATATCCACTGAGCCAAACTGGTTTCGGCAGATCGTATGAACCTTAGCAAGTCCCATTGTTTCCCCGGGAACTCTCTTTCGTTGTCTGTAAAGTGGGCGTGATGGCGATTGTGAGGACTGCCAGGCGCACCGTGGAGCACCCAGCCCCTGGGAGGTGTCCGGTCCTCGGGGGTGGGTAGTGAGTGGGAGCGTACGCTTGTCCACTGTTCCAGAGACTTCTCTGGTCTGGCCACAGCCAAAGGAGCTGAGGTTCCCCTCCTCACGGACTAACATTCAGAATCCTCCTCGTTCCCTCTTGCCTGGGGGACCCCAAGGCCGAGACGTGGGAGGCAGGGCCTCGGGGGCTGTGGCGCTAGTGCCACTGGCTCCATTGACCCTTCCGGGGCTCAGGGTCAGCGGCCCTCAGCAGCCATCTCCCCAGCGCGGGTGGCCGACGGGAGGAGAGGTCCCCGTCCGCCGCCTCCCCTTGACCTGACCTCCCTCGGCCCCGCAGGGCGGGAGTACGACAAGGACGGGAACCTGCGGCCCTGGTGGAAGAACTCGTCCGTGGAGGCCTTCAAGCGGCAGACGGAGTGCATGGTGCAGCAGTACGGCAACTACAGCGTGAACGGGGAGCCGGTGAACGGCCGCCACACCCTCGGGGAGAACATCGCCGACAACGGGGGCCTCAAGGCGGCCTACCGGGTAAGAGGCCGCTCCCCAGCACGGCCCGGGCCGCCCAGGTCAGGGTCACCGCAGCCGCTCGGTGAGGCTCCTGGAGAGGGTGCCGGGGAAGGCAGCTGGCCCGGAGCTGGGCGCCCCTGAGGCTTTCTGCTCCTGAGTCCAGGCCGACAGAGAGACCCGGGAAAGGGCCTGGGCTGGACCCACGGGAGTCCTGCCTGTTCCTCCCGGGACACACACACACACACACACACACACACAAACACACGCCACTAATTCGGGAAGCAGCGGGCCCTGAAGGGACGGCAGGGCCATGGAGGCAGGTCCGGGAGTAAGTCTCCTGGCCGCCGAGCCTCGGTGTGCTTGGCCGAACCCTGCGTCCTGGGCTGCGACAGGTGACAGCTGGGCACGGCCTGATCCAGGGTGCGGTTCAGGGGTGGCAGCTGATCGGGTGGGCGTGACGACAGGCCCCGGGAGAATAAGAGGAGGCGGCATCTGTCAGAGCGGCCGCTGCCCCCTCCCCAGGCAGTCAGAGCAGAAATGCTAAGAGGCGCCGTTCACTTAGGCCTTACCGCGTACCCCAAACCTTTACGGGGGGGTCTCACAGCCCCCATTTGGCAGTTGAGGAAACAGCCCAGAAACGTCGGTCGCCATGTCAAGTGCACTGGTCAGTGCCTGTGCATTGCCGGCCTTCCCCCGCGTGCCCTGTTGTGGACACTGGGGTTTCCGTGGCAAGACACAGTCACCGCTCTCACAAAGTCCCCGTGGTGGTGGGACAGGGAGGGGACAGAAAGGCCATGCTCACCGAGACCAACAAGAGCGTTTCCAGCAGAGCTCTCGTGTCCAGAAGGGGGGAGGGGGTCTGGGACTGACATCTGAATGAAGACCTAAATGATGGGGAAGAGGCAGGGGAAGGAGAGTGAGTGCAGGGGCCACGAGGTGGACACACAGCCGGGCAAGTTCAAGGGCAGGAAGGGCAATGGGTGGAGGGAGAGCAGGGCCGAATGGGGGAGGGGAGGTTGGAGGAGCAGCTGGGCCCCGAGCAAGGGGCTTGGGTGTCGTTCTGGTTACAGGGGAGGTCGCTGCATGGTCTTTATTGTTTTTTATTAATATTTTGATTTTTTTTTTTTTTTTACAGAGAGGAAGGGGAGGGGTAGAGAGCTAGAAACATCGATGAGAGAGAAACATCGACCAGCTGCCTCCTGCACACCCCCTACCGGGGATATGCCCTCAACCAAGGTACATGCCTTTGACCGGAATCGAACCTCAGACCTTTCAGTCCGCAGGCCGACGCTCTATCCACTGAGCCAAACCGGTTTCAGCTCGCTGCATGGTCTTTAAATAGAGGAATGACGTGGGTCAATTCATCCTCTAAAACGGAGGTCAGCGAACCTCCAGACTGTGGGCCACACGCAGCCCTCAGCCGGGTTCTGTGAATATTGGGGGGCTGCAGCCAGGCCCACCCATCGCCACGTTGTCTGTGGCCGCGGTCACGCCACGAGGGCAGGACTGAGGGGTGGCAGCAGAGACTGGAACTGTTCACTCCCTGGCCCCTCACAGAGAAAGTCCGCCAGCCCCTGCTTTACAAGGACGGCTTGCTGGCTGTGTGGGGAGGGGGTTGGAATTGGGCTGGTTTGAGTCAAGAAGCCGAGTGAGAACGCCATGTGAGGCTGTCCAGGCAGGAAATGGGAGGGAGCACTGGGAAGTGTGAGGAGTGGCCAGATTGGGGTGTTTGCTTTGATTGGAAGAAGCATCAGAGGAGTTCTGGAGTTTGGACCTCAATACCACTGTGTGTGCGTGTGTGCATGTGCGTGTGCGTGTGCGCGTGTGCGTGTGTGTGCGTGCGTGTGTGTGTGTGTGTGTGTGTGTGCCCTTTCGTTCTGTCTGTGCCGTGTTAAGTTGGAGATGCATCTTGGAGGTCCAGCGAGGGTAGTTGCATTGGAGGGCCTTTGACATGAAGCTGGTATTTAAAGCCCCCGGGTTGAATGTACTCGCCTCAGAAGGAGGGCAGGTAAAGAATAAGGTGACCATGCCAAAACCGGTTTGGCTCAGTGGATAAAGCATCGGCCTGCAGACTGAAGGGTCCCAGGTTCGATTCCCGTCAAAGGCATGTACCTTGGTTGTGGGCACATCCCCAGTAGGGGGTGTGCAGGAGGCAGCTGGTCGATGATTCTCTCTCATCGATGTTTCTAACTCTCTATCCCTCTCAATTCCTCTCTGTAAAAAAAAAAAAAAGCAATAAAATATATTTTTTTAAAAATAAAGTTTAAAAATAAGGTGACCAGACATCCCACTTTTGGCGGGACAGTCTCGATTTCTAACAATTTGTCCCACGTCCTAGGGTGTTTTAAAAAAAGTTCCGATTTTTCGAAAAATCAGGACTTTTTTTTAAAACGCCCTGGGACACGGGACAAATTGTTAGAAATCGGGACGTCTGGTCACCCTCGTAAAGAAGCCAGCGCCCCTGGGCTGAGCTGGGCCGGCAGAGCTGACGCCCGACCTCAGAAGCCAGCTCTCGGGCTGAACCTCCTCGCGGGCCCCTCCGCCGCCCCTGCTGGCGTCCGGCGCTGAGCGCTCTCTCCTCCAGGCCTACCAGAACTGGGTGCAGCAGAACGGCCCCGAGCAGACGCTGCCCACGCTGGGGCTCACCAACGACCAGCTCTTCTTCCTGGGGTTCGCGCAGGTGAGTGCGTGAGGAGGAAGCCAGACCCGGCTCCTCCCCGCTCCGTCCCGGGAGCTCCGAGGGCCAGAGGGAGAGCCCCCCGGGCCATCCCATCGGGCGTCCGGGGCAGCTGCCCGGGAGGGGCGGCCAGGCGTGCTAGCGAAGGGACTGCTGCCTCCGGTGGGTGAGCGGACAAGGTGGCCACGGAGGGCCCTTCTGGCTCTGGGTTCCAGAAGTTTCTTCCACTCAGTATGCACCCAGCTGTCCCTTGAGCCGGCGGCATTCAGCGTAGAGCCTTCCCTTGGCACTCGGCGCTGCCAGGCCTTCGGGCAGTTGTTCTGTCCAGGAAGTGAGTGACGTGGGCTCAATCCAATTTTCAGGATGGCTTGGGGGCCAAATGCTCTGTTCAGATGAGACCTAGGGGAGCAGCCGAGGATGCTGGGATGGGGACACGCCGTCCGCTCTCCCTCTCTGGGCCCCCTGGCCGGCCTTCCTGACCCAGGCTCCTAGGACCAGGCGGGGGCTCCTTGCTCTGCTGTAGAACACGGGGCAGTCGGCCGCCTCCGGGCCCGCAGTGACCCTCCCCCCCCTCCCTTTCCCCCCACCAAGGTCTGGTGCTCCGTCCGCACGCCCGAGAGCACACATGAGGGCCTCATCACGGACCCCCACAGCCCCTCCCGCTTCCGGGTCATCGGCTCCGTCTCCAACTCCAGGGAGTTCTCGGAGCACTTCCACTGCCCGCCCGGCTCGCCCATGAACCCGCGTCACAAGTGCGAGGTCTGGTGAGGGGCGAAGAGAGAGCCGCGGCGGAGCCACGGGCTGCCCCCTCCGTGCCCCCAGCCCCCCTGGCCGCCCGGGCCCCCCGCCCCGCACTGGAGGGTTTTTGGCTGGAACTGAGCTGTGACGGGGGTTCTCAGCATCATGTGAGACGTGGTCCCCCGGGGAGACCCTGTCACCCCGGCCCCACGCGCGCACACCCACTCTGATGGGCATTTGGGTGTCAGGCCGGCTGCTCGCCAGGCCTGGGCCCCACGCTGACAAGGGCGGCGGGCACAGCCCCACGCCCACACCCGGCGCCAGATACGCCACAGATGCCACTGTGTCAAATGCTTTACGGATATATTTTTGGGAAAACTATTTTGTAAACCTTGTGGAATACACTGGAAATCTTCAGGGAGATGCTACATCTAAAACACTTTTTTTTTTTTTTTTTTTTTTTTTAAGGAGAGGATTGGTATATTTATTATGTTCTGTGTTTCTAAATAACCTGTGGACGAGGGAAGCCCCACTGACAACCCCTCCCCCTGCCTCCCTGGCTCTGAGGCTGAGCTCAGGCAGCCATGCCCGGGCCCCTGAGCGGGCCTTCAGCCCCGGGATACACGGTGGCCGCCCCCATCGCCTGGCTTGGGGAGGAGGGGCCTGGGGCCAGCCAGGAGGGGGCCGGCTCGGGGAGGCCCAGCTCATGGGCACACCCATCTTGGCGCCCCTGACTGTCCCCAGAGCCTGGCAGTGGGAACGCCAGCGAGAAAGGTCTGATCCCAAAGTCGCAGCAGGAGGCCGAGGGCTGTCGCAGCAGGAGGCCAGGGCAGGCCCTCGAACCCAATCGGGTGCCCACGCGCCTGGATCTGGACCACAGGACCCTGTGACCACCCCTCCTCCCCATCAGATGTGCTCTCCTGTGCTCTTCTCATCCCTCTTTTGTCACCCCCCGCCCCCATATCTGTCCTGGGAGCCTGCTGCCTCTCCAGCTTCCCACCCCCGCCACTACCTTACCCTCCCTCTGAGCTCCTTACCCTTCCCACCCCCGCCACTACCTTACCCTTCCTCCACCCCTGCTGGACCTGGCTCCCGGCCACCGCCCTCCCACCCTCCATTCTCTAGTGCCTTATGGAGGCTCTGACCCTGGATGCACCCCAGGGGGACAGCCCCTTACCCCCGGGGCCCCTTGGCCTCCTCAGCGAAGCCCCCAAGTGTCCTGACCGGAACACAAGGCCATACCCCCCACTCCTGGTGCCCCCCGAGCTGCTTCCCACCAGCACCGAAGCTCTGCCTCCAGGCCAGTGCACGGGGTCAGGGCCAGGAGCCCCTGACTTGCCCCGAGCACCGCCCCACCCACAGCCCCGTGGGCTGAACCCAGACACTCCTTGTAGCTATCTGGACTCCTTCTTGGGAAATGCTTTCAGCCATGGGAGGCTGTGAGGGGGGCGTCCCCCAACCCGGTCAGGCCGAGGCCGCGGTTCAGAAGCCCCCAGAGGGACCTCATTGGAGCCCCGTGCTGGCCATCCAGGGAAGCAGTGCCTGGGAGCGAGCAGGAGCAGCCGGTGCCCTCCTACCAGGTGCCCGCCTGCAGCAGCCCAGGCCGCCTGGCAGGCCCCGCCCCGCCGGCACTCGCCTGGCCCAGGAGGCCAGGCCCTCCTTGCCCAGCAGAAGCCACAGCTCAGCCACTGCCTCGCCCTCCTTCCCACCAGCCCAGAGCTGGTTCTAGCCTCACAAGCAACTGCCCTGGGAGCTTGTCAGAGGAAAGCTCAGACAGGAGCAGAGCAGGCTGCCCAGTCCTGCTCCCTCCCTGCCCGCCGGCCTTCCCTGCGGCCTGGTGTCTGTCAGCACCCAGGCCTGGGACCTCCCAGCCCAAGCCAGTGTCCCAGAGCTGAGGGCCAGCCAGAGGGCCTGTCATTGGCACTCACTGCTCCCTGGTGCGCTGTGAGTGTGGGGGTGGGGGAACAGGGGGGGACCCCGCCCCTGAAGCCCAGGGAGCCCTGAGGCTGGCTTGTCTGCAGGTACATGGACGTGGGTTTGGGGCTGGGAATCTGGTTTTTGTATTCTTAACGTTTTGTGCTACTGTAGTTCTGGTGTAGCACTATTGTAACTGAAATAAAGTACTTGTACCGTGGGCCACCTGACTGCGTGTGTGACTTCTCAGGGTGACGTGTGATGGGTGGGCTATGGGAGGGCACACACACACACACACACACACACCCCCGCCCCGTGTCATCAAGGCCAGCTGCACCTCCTCCCAGAGCAAAGCCCCGGACCCTGACGCATGCCAGTGGCCACACAGGCTGAAGGAACAAGAGGGCGGCTTTTTGTTCCTGCAGAGGTGGGTCCTCCCGGCATTCCTGTTTCCCAAAGACCGCATGGACAGGCTCCTCCCACTTCCCTGCTGGGGAGCCCCCACCCGCTTTCCCTCCTCCTCGTCCTCCCTTGTTAGCAATAGACCTTCCCACAACTCCTGCATGTCCCTCCTCAAGCCTGCACGAAAATCCAGCCGGTCCTTAGGGGTTTACCCTGCAGTGAAGAATGGGAAACAGGCCAAAACCGGTTTGGCTCAGTGGATAGAGCGTCAGCCTGTGGACTGAAGGGTCCTGGGTTCGATTCTGGTCAAGGGCATGTACATTGGTTGCGGGCACATCCCCGGTGGGGGGCGTGCAGGAGGCAGCTGGTCGATGTTTCTCTCTCGTCGACGTTTCTAGCTCTCTGTCACTCTCCCTTCCTCTCTGTAAAAAATAAATAAAATATATTTTTTTAAAAAATATAAAAGAATGGAAAACAGGCCAAAACCGGTTTGGCTCAGTGGATAGAGCATTGGTCTACAGACTCAAGAGTCCCAGGTTCGATTCTGGTCAAGGGCATGTACCTTGGTTGCGGACACAATCCCAGTAGGGGGTGTGCAGGAGGCAGCTGATTAATGTTTCTCTAACTCTTCCTCTCCCTTCCTCTCTGTAAAAACTCAAAAAAAAAAAAATTTTGAAAAGAAAAAAAAGAATGGGAAGCACTTGTAAGACATAACTTGAGAACCACTGGGAAATGTGTGCGACCTGTCCTAGTGACTGGGTAGGCCAAGGCGCTGTCAGGTCCAGAGCTGCGGAAGGAAGGGAGGGAGGGATTAGAGAAGGCTCTAAACGTGGGAGAATTGGGCGCAGTGATTACTCCGTTGAGAAATGGGGGAGACCTTTACAAAGAAAACTGTAAAGCTGGAGAATGTTACAGATTAGGGAGCCAGAGAACCTGAACAAATGCAGGTGAATACCCCGATCACGGATGGAAAGGCTCCCTATCACAAAAGACGCCATCTCCCCCAAATTAACCTGTCATTTCGGTGTACTCTCAACCGACAACGCTGAGTTAATTTTTCACGGGACTCGAAAGCAGACTCGCTGGAAGAGAAGATGCACCATGGCCAAGGCAGAAAGAACAGCGAGTGAGCTGGCCTTTCCAGACTGTCACAAAGCTGCAGGGAGTAACGCAGTGCGGTGCTGGCGTGCGAACAGAGACACTGGACAGCTGGCACAGATTAGGGAGCCAGAGACAATTCTCCGTGTCTGTGGGACTTCGTGTAGGATCAAGGGGGCCCTTCAAATCGGCTGAGAAATAAAGAACCATTAAATAAGTGGTGTTAGGATATCCACGTGGGAAAAACAAAAGAATCTAGAGCCTGCCTCCCTCACACAGTTCTCACACACGTTGTTCACAACAATAAATTCTACATATCCTAGGGAACTAACAGTGTGAAAACCATAGAAGTCTCACAGCATACAGGGTGAGGCAAAAGTAGGTTACAGTTCTGGGTACATGAAATTATTGTGTTATTTTTAAAAAATATATATATATTTTTTATTTTGTACAGAGAGGAAGGGAGAGAGAGAGAGAATTAGAAACATCGATGAGAGTCATCGATCAGCTACCTCTTGTACACCCCTACTGGGGATATGCCCGCAACCAAGGTACATGCCTTTGAATAGAACCCGGGACCCTTCAGTCCCCAAGCCGACGCTCTATCCATTGAGCCAAACCGGTCTCGGCAAATTATTGTGGCCTGGTGCACAAAATTCATGCACGGGGGGAGGGTGGGGGGGAATGTCCCTCAGCCTGGCCTGCGCCCTCTCCAATCTGGGACCCCTCAGGGAATGTCTGACTGCAGGTTTAGGCCCAACATCCCTCTAGCAATCTGGGACCGTTGGCTTCTAACTGCTCACCTGCCTGCCTGCCTGATCGCCCCTAACCACTCTGCCTGCTGACCTGCTCCTTCCCCTACTGTCCTCCCACCAGCCTGCTCACCCCGACTGCCCCCCCTTGCCGGCCTGATCACCTCCAACTGCCCTCCCCTCCTGGCCTGATGGCCCCCTAACCACCTCTGCCTTGGCCCCACCACCATGGACTTTGTCTGAAAGGTCTTCTGATCTAATTAGCATATTACCCTTTTATTAGTATAGAAGATTTCATTATTTTCCAAATGAATAACTGTAACCTGTATCACAGAATGTGTTAAAACTATGGGTAGGCAAACCTGTCTTTAACAAAACAAATGAAAGGAAAAAAATATGGAAATTTAATACATTTTATTTACTTATTGATTTTTTACAGAGAGGAGGAGAGAGGGATAGAGAGCTAGAAATGTCGATGAGAGAGAAACATCCCTACTGGGGATGTGCCCGCAACCAATGTACATGCCCTTGACCAGAATCGAACCCGGGACCTTTCAGTCCGCAGACCGACGCTTTACCACTGAGCCAAACCGGTTTTGGCGGAAATTTAATACATTTTAATACATGTGAAAGAGAGCAAAATATTTAAGAAGAAATACAAAAGGACAAAAAAAAATTCAGAAAGATGATCTCACTAATAATATGAGCAATATATTTAAAACCACAATGAGGTAATAGTTTTCACCCTCAGATTGGCAAAAATGGAGTTTGATATTGTGTTGCTGAGGATGTGGGAAACCGGGCACTGTCCCTCACTGCCAGGCCCATATTGGGAATTCATTGCATTAAAAGGCAATCACCAGGGCTTTGTGCTGCGAGGGAAATGCTGTCTTCCTGATTTCTTGACTCGTCCCCCCACCCCCACTCACACCCCTGCCCCTTTTCTCTTAAGCCCCCTCTCCACCGCTTTCTGAGTGCACAGGCTTGCGGCAGCACACACGGGAGTTCTGTTGGACTCTGAGTTATTTCTCTACTTCAGGTAATTTCAAGTTCATGTGGTTTTATTTTCTCTCTGTGTTGATTTACATTCATGGCTTGATTCCCCGTCAGGGCACATGCTTTCCAGTGGAGGGCGTGCAGGAGGCAGCCAATCAGTGATTCTCCTTATCATTGCTTCTCTCTCTCCCTTCCTTTCTCAATTTTTTTTTTTTAAGAGATAGTATGAAAACTGGTGAAGGGGCACGGCAATGTCAGGGGGGTGGGGGGAATCACTCTCAGGCTGCCCAGTACCTAAGCTAAAATAGTTAACAACAACAACAACAACAAAATAGTGAACGCCAATGGGGCATAGTAGCTACAAGCAGCACCAGCGACACGGAAGTCTGGAGAGTGTGGACAGGGCAGCCTTGAGAAGCACTGATCCTTGGGGAGCACCAGTTTATGGTGTAAAGATGACACCCTTGTGGATGTGGTAGTGAAAGGAAAGAATCCTAAAAAACAGCAAACCCGAAACCGGTTTGGCTCAGTGGATAGAGCATCAGCCTGCGGACTCAGGGGTCCCAGGTTAGATTCTGGTCAAGGGCATGTACTTGGGTTGTGGGCACATCCCCGGTGGGGGGCGGGTGTGGGGGGCTGATCGATGTATCTGGCTCTCTATCCCTCTCCCTCTCTGTAAGAAATAAATAAAAAATATTTTAAAAAAAGAATCCTAAAAAACAAACAAAAGCCAATTTCCCCCCTCCCCTCTCTCCACCATTCATGAGGAACAGCCCGGTGGACAGCAGAGGGCGCACTTGTGTGGGAGCTTTTTTCTTTATTGATTAAGGTATTAAATATGTGTCCTTATCTCCCTATACTCCCCCCACGCCCCCACTCACGCCTTCACCCCCTGGTGTCTGTGCCCAGTGGTTAGGCTTATATGCATACAAGTCCTTTGTTGATCTCTGTGTAGGAAGTCTTGTCCGTGAATGAACGGAACCAGAAAGGGCAGATCACATGCATTCAAAACTTCCGTTAGAAAATAAGTGTAATTCAGAGCATCTCAACTGATAAAAATTCTCCCTCAGAAAATCAAGCATAAAGCTGAAGAAAACTGCCGGACAGAAATCGATAATATATTTGGACACAAAGAAAACATTAGCAGGTTCCACCATGTAAAATCCATGTTCTCTTACCAAATGCAGTATGACTGGACATTGGAAACAGAAAAAGCCTAGCCAGCACGGTTCAGTGATTGAGCATCGACCTATGAACCATGGTCACAGTTCAGTTCCTGGTCGGGGTTACGGACTCAATCCCCATGGTGGGGTGTGCAGGAGGCAGGTGATTCTCTCTTAAAAAAAAAATTATATATATATATATATATATATATATATATATATATATATATATATTATTGATTTTTTACAGAGAGGAAGGGAGAAGGATAGAGTTAGAAACATCGATGAGAGAGAAACGTCGATCAGCTGCCTCCTGCACACCCCCTCCTGGGGTTGTGCCCACAACCAAGGTACATGCCCTTGACCAGAATCGAACCTGGGACCTCACAGTCCACAGGCCGACA